GACATACTGTGTTGCAAGGTCACCGATAGGGAGCTTGCTAAGGACGACCTTGGCTCCGGTCTTGTAGAGAGCCTCGAGCTTGTTGAAGATGATCTGCCACTCCGCGTCGACGATGGCCTGGTACTCCGATACCTGCTCGACCCTGACCTCTGCATTGTCCTTCTCGCTCTTCAGCTCCAGCTCAACATTCAGGCAAACAATCTTTGGGTTCTTGAACGACTTGGGCTGCTGCTCAAACCCAGCATACGAGAACGTCTTCTTGAACGCAACGCCGTTGATGAACTGCGAGTCCTGCAGCGCTCCTCCGGTAATCTTCTTGACCCCAATCAGCTTCTCGTTCAGGTCGTCCTGGTCCAGCGACAGGACGGCATCCACAACCACTGCATCACATCAGTTAGCTCAGTCACTGCCTGCATGGTTCCCTATCGTCATGTCCAAAAGGAAAAGATAACGCACTCTTTGTGAAAAAGTCTGAATTCCGCTTGATCAGCTTGCTGTTCATCGCTGTGCCCGCCAGTCGCCGCAGCGTCTCGATCTTCTTCGCCTCTCCGCCAGCAGCATCCTTCATATCAATTGCAATCTCCTTGATACGGTTGATGCACATGGCACTCGCCTTCCTCAACCCCTTTATAATTGTCTGAGCACTTACATCCTGCTCCACTAGGTCGCGCACTTCTCGTAGGATTTCACCTGCTAGCACAACTACGGAGGTCGTTCCATCGCCCACTTCTGCGTCCTGGGATCGTGCAATGTCGGTCAGGATGCGGGCTGCGGGGTGGACAATATCGAGCAGCTGTTACGGACAGCAGTCAGCACGGAGCCCTTGTAGACGTCTCATTCCTAATCAACTAGAGCATCTCCTTACCTTCATTACCGTTGCTCCATCGTTTGTGATTGTCTGCTTGCCGTTGGTGTCTACCAGTAATAGGTCCCCGCCATAGGGGCCTAGCGTGCTCTTGATAGTGTTCTGTACCGCAACGCAGGCGTTGATATTCGAGAGAATCTGTCCCTTGCCCTGCGAGGCATCCGTTCCTGCACATCAAACACCCATCGTAAGCTTAGAACAGTCACATTCGTGCTGGAGCAAACGTGTGATAGTAGAGGGGGGGGCAGAGGCATAGAAAAACTGACCCTCTTTCAACACGATGATTGTGGGTGTTTGGCCCGCGAACGCCATTGCAGCGGTTCAAAGTCAAGACAAATAGAATAAGCAAGTACGTATTCCTCAGGATAGATAGATTGGGGGAAATGTCTCTCCTTTCCCGCTGTCTCTCTCTGTTTAATTTGCAGAAGGTGGCCGTAGTGGTGTTCAGCGGTTTAGTTATTTTGATAGCTTTTCGCTGTGTCTCTTTTTTTGCTTTTTTCCCCCGTGCTGTGTCAGCAACTTCAGCCGCCAAACAATCTTTCCCCCTTTTATCTTATAACATACAAATCTCGACAGAAATATTGAAAAGGCTACGATGGAAGAAAGGAAAGGTATATATATATATATTTTGGAAGATAGTCTATCCGTCTAAATTGCTCGTAAACGTCATCATAGGTCCAACAGCGGCTGTACATATATATCGTCCATCAGTGCTACGGGTTGATTTGTTTGCTCAGTTCTCAAAGTGATTCTGGTCGTCTCTTCCTCCAAAGGCAACGGTAAGCAGGTCTGCCTGGAACTGGGCATCGTTCTGTAGCCGCGTTGCCTCTGCGAGCCTCATGGATTGGTCTCGCATGCCCACGCCAACACCGACGTCAACATCAACGTCAACTCCTACTCCGGCACCAACGCCTACATCTACGCCTACGTTGGCATGCGAGGCCATCAGATCGTCGTCTTCAACTACCTGATAGCTGCCTGTGTGGTCATGATGGTGGTGTTCGTGGTGGTGGTGATCATGGTCATGATGCTGCATGGGGGAATGATCGAAGTCATGGGTCAAGGCGTGATGAGGATCGTGTGCACCGTCTGTTTCATACGGACTCACTCCCACACCAACATTGACGCCATTATGGTGCTGAAATGGAGGGAGATGGTGGTGTATATCATCCATTATCTGAGGATCGAGCGGTATATCGGCGTAGTCCGCCATCTGCCCAGCGTGAAAAAGGGGAGTAGTGTGAGAGTGGGTGTTGTGAGGATGTGGGTGGGGTGTAGGACTGAAGGTTTCCTCCTTGGAGTACTGGTGGACTGCTGCGGACACGCTTGTGAGTTGTTGGTCAGGCTGGGTGGGGGTAAAGGCGTTAGAAGGAGGTATATCAAAAGTGTTAGCCCGAGGAGTAGGCGATGGTTTCTCCCGTTTGAATGGCAAGGTATTGGTTTCAGAATTGCTGTTGGTATGAGAGCCGAGTTGGATGCCGTTGGCACCGTTTATAGGTGCTTTGGGGCCTTCCTTGCATTGTGGGCAGTTCTTGATGGCCATGCTAACTGTCTCCTTGATCCGAACCCAATGATATTTTAACGCAATAGTAGCCGTTGTCTTGTTGATACCACCATGCTGCTGCTGGTGTATCCTACGAGCTATCTCATACTGCTGTTGTGGATCGGAGACAACCTCCTTATCCTTCAGCATCAGCTTCTCTGGCTCACCCTTCTCGCCACCTACAAGCTTGTAGTGGGTAGCTGCACTGCGTAGACGGCTCTTCTCAGCCCTATCTGCGCCGCTCGGGTACTTGGAATGTTTCAAGTAATATCTGATCTTGTCGAATCTTTCTTCAGAGACAAAGTCCTCTCCCTCTGGACCGAGATCTCGGCCGTATATGATTGCATCAATAAGCTGTCCTGGGTATGATCGTAGATTGCCACACCCTGGTATTCTGCCTACTCGTTTGAAGCCCAACGCGTCCCATATTCGACAGGAGGCTACGTTGGTTTCGTAAACCAGATTGAACACGGCGTATGTGTATCCCTAAGCAGACGAACAAAGTAACGAGAAGCAGATCAAAAGGTTAGCAACGTTATATCACCGTCAAAGCTTAAAAATGTATCTTGCTTGAAACATTGCTGAGCTCAATGCTCACCATCTGTGGTGCCCATTCCAGGTAGCATTCACCCATCAGCCGGCCTACACCGCGGTTTCTTGAGGCATCCGTCACCAGGAAAGCACCGTTACATATATGACTACTTCTTCCAGGGTAATTTGGCTTGATATTAAAGCTGCCCAGGCATATCTTCCCCCAGTCGGCGCCAATAGCTTCTAAAGACTGTACATGGCCAACGGTTGGCACGTCTCCGAGCAGCATGACCGCCGTGAAATGGGAGAACCAGTCTGTGCCAAACTCCGCCAGGCTCAATGGATTTATAAAGGGGTACGTGTCGCCCTTCTCGATCTCCTTGTTCAGCTGGTCGCACAGGTACGCCAGCAGTGAACGAGGGACCTCCTGTGCCGACGAGAAGGGGATTAGCGTCGCCGCCGTCACTCGGTCTCGCAGCGTCACCTGTCTCGGCAAGATTGCGGGAGGCAACTGGGGACTGCCGTTGCTGCCACTGCTGCTAGCACCCGGGCCACTGGCGGGTGTTACCGAGGTGGCTGCAGGGTCATGGAACGCTCCCGCGGAAGTCCCGGGCGAGGTGCGGTATACCGGGCTCCCTACCGGATCGTCGCCAGCGGGCCCAACACTGACAGCAGGCATGCTTCAGCCTCTCACGCTATCTTTTTCCCCCTTCGCCGAGTCAGATATATAGATCCTTGTCCAGTCCTCTGTCTTTGCCCCTGGCCCGAACGACGCCTGTACCTGTCACGAGACCATCAGCCTTAATCAGCCCCAACTGGCTCAGCCTTTTTATGTTCCAAAAAAATTCTGCATCCAAACAGGAGAAAAGGACCAAACTCGAAAATTTCTTCCACCGACAGGGAGCGTATCGCGGCGGCAGACTCGCTGGCCCTGGCTGCTACCCACCCAAGGGCTCACCCGCGAACAGAACAGGCCTCCCTAACTGTGGAACTGGCGGTGCAAGGGGTCCTTTACCTGGGGCTGGGGGGGTACGCACTCTCAAGAACGGCTTCGTACTTTGCAGAACGCGGGGAGTTTTTTGCAGCAGGAACGAAAAGGCGGAAAAAGGAGCGCGAGGACAGGTTTTCTTGGCGGCGCTACGGGTTATAGTAAACCCGTATGAGTAAGCTATGGCTTAGGTAAGGCGATGTGATGTTGATACGCAGGCTTGGCTCATGCCCTTGCCCGTCGCTGTTTCTCGCGCTGGAGGGCCTTGATGCCGGTTCGATCGGTCGCGATGGTTGCGTTGATGATGCGGTCAAAGGCGGCGTCGCTCTCGTTGCCATCGTCGCTGTCGCTCTCCTCGTTGCAGGCGTCTTTCGCGGCTGTCACACCCGCTGGCGACGGTACTACTGCGGGTCCAGTCGCTTTTGCGTCTGGCTCGCGGTCAGGGGAAGAAGCAGTGCCAGCAAACGGCTTGGACATGAGTATCTTTCGCCGGATCTCTGCCATCTCTTCCTCATCGTCGTCTTCCTCCTCGGACTCCGGGAATGGATTGTCTCTCTGTAGAGCATTCCGTGGGATCTCGTCTTCGTCCTCGTCGTCATCACCATCGCCTTCTTCGTTCCTCTCCTCATTTTCCTCGTCTTCGGAATCCGAAAGAAAGGCCTGTCTGTTTGTATTACCCGTAGTCCACATATCGTCTGGCCCTTTCCCTTCTCGGTTCTCCGCGTATTCCTTCTCGATCTTCGCCAGCCACTTCTCCTCAGCGGCCTTGATGTCTGCTTCTGTCTCACAAGCTGCATACCGCTTAAACAGCTGCGAGTTGATCTCTAGAAACGGCTGGCCGTAACGGAAGTGCTGTAACACCTCTTCAGCCCAGTCTTCGTGTCCGCATATCATGAAAGTCGCAGCCAGTGCTTCAACGCAGTTCAACCGCCACGGTTTGCCATAGTTCACCGTGTTTGCTGCCACAAGGTAAGGCACTGTATCCCAATAGTATATTAGCATTGAATCCAGGCCGCCGTCACACGGGATATCACGCACGCAATCTCTCTGTCTTTCCGCCAATTTTTGACCAAGGTACTTCGCTCACTCGTACCCATGAACACTCCACCACGGCTGCACCATACTGCTCGAGCAACGGCTTGTCAGCAGGGGAAAGGGTCTGCTTTGCATTCGGCCTATATTTTGTTCCTTTTCATCAGTCGTGTCTCGTCATGATTGGGAAGTTACATACGATATTACCACCCCCGGAAACTTATGTCCTATACCCAGATCGCGCATATATCCAAGCTGCATCAATCGTTTGCCGGAACATTTCTTCGGGTCACAGTGTCCCAGGTCCCAGCAGGCAGCTTGAAAGGGTGCGTGAGGCCGTTTTCCATGCTCATCTACTCCGTCTTTGATCACTGGCCGTCGGTAGTCACCCCGCTTGCTCTTGCGGGACATCGTGTCTTTTTTATGTCGAACCATCCTGAATTAACGACGGTAGTCTATCGGCAAGGAGCACTGTCTTCCGCCTTCTGGAAGTCCTTGTATCTCAGAGCAAATGCTCTCTATGAAACCAGTTTAACAAAACTAATCTGCTTCATCAACTATTTATGTCAATGTTCAGGACGATTATAGAACTTTAAGCCTCCCAGGATTTAGTTATCTGTCACGTGAATCTTTGCTGATTAAGGCTCCCGAGCGAGAGCTAACATTGAAGAAGAATATGTACTCAGGAAAGCAAAGCATTAGGGCTTGGGTTGTATTACGCCCGTCTCTACTGTTTTCCTCTTTTTCCTTCATCGGATAACGGCGATGATGAGCAGGTTTTGTTGAATGCGGCCCGTCACGGACTTAACTAGGGCTTAGGTCTTGGACTTTTGAGCTTCCTGATTTTCCCTCAGTTGACCTCCATTGGATGCAAATGCTATCCTTAGGCTTCTCCAATCCTCACCAGTTTCAAATCCCTGTTTTAAGTCCCTTACTCCCCTCAATTACCATTTTATTTGCCGGTGCTTTATCAGAATTAAAAGCACTGGTTAAGTACTAGGTAGTTCTATGCGACAAATTATACCCTTAGCCGCAGCGGGATCTACATGATTCCTCTTCTACGCGACAGTGCTGGAGCCCGCATGTTACAACGCTTATCACAGGTCAAACCCTTGTTTACTAGGCACTTCCTGGACGACTGAGCCTATAACATAGGGTGATCCCCGCAAAGATAACTATAAGATCGCCAATGACTTCGGATACTTGATGCAAATGAGT